ACAGGTGGACCCTGCCAGAGCATCACCAAATGTTTGGCATCACACAGACATATGATTGCTTCATGACCTCAGTGTCTGCTTCTGAAAAACACTGTCATAGACAAGCAGACAGACAGACAGAAAATGCAGGCAGGTAGTAGGTAGATAGATACAAGGATAGGCAGAGGGCTGGGATGTAGCTCAGTAGTACAGTGCTTGCCTAGCATGCTCGAGGCCCTGGGTTCGATCCCAGCACCACAAAAGAAAAGACAAAAAAAAAAAAGGATAGACAGATATCCACCTATCATGAAGGGTCACATTTTCTGTCAGGGTAAACGAGACAGTGTATTTCACTCAGGCGCCCAGCACAGACCCAGTTCACGTGAGCACCCTTGTGCTTCCTGTCTGAACAGTTCAATGACACAGCCCACTACAAACCTGCACGGGAACCTAGCCAATGTCACCTACAGACTGTGCTCCGCAGCACAGAGCCCTCCCACCCGCCAGCCAAGCAGCCCAGATGACATCTCAAAAGCACTATATTGACCACCCACCTTCCAGGGTTTTCATTCAGTTACTCACACACAAGAAGTTACAACGACAAGGTCATCTCTAGGTACGACATTACCGGTGCTGCACAATACTGTCCAAACCCAGGGACCGGCTGAATGAACTGTGGCACACCAGGCTGTAAGTGCTATGCAGCTATAAGCAAGGATCAGAGCTGGCATGGAGAGGCCTCCATGATGCACAGCCACCTGAGACACCAAAGGCCCAAAGAGCACTGAGAGTATGTGACCTTCCGTGTAAGAAAGAGGACCTGGAACAACATTCACTTACTTGTTTCGTTTACCAAAAGCCAACACCAGAAGTGTGAGTTCGGGGTGGGGGAGCTCTTTTCCACCTACTTTCTAATTCTGGCTTCACTTTTGTAAGCAGGTAGTGTTTCACATATTCAAAACTAAAACCAAATCAACAAAGGTAGGAAAAAATCCGAAAACTCATCAGAAACAACGAATAAACCCACAGTCCTGGTGGGGAGGGGAAGTGACGTATGAAGCTGGTACCCTGACTTTCAGACCCTCTGCAGGCCACAGGACTGACGTGTGAGAAGGCGTGCTGGGGTCGGGAACCAGGGTCGACTGGAGGGGCAGAGACAGGGACACATCTGGAGATGGCATCAGAGCTGGGGTACGGATTTGAACTAGAGATCTAGCTCTAGATCTCTAGTGTTGCTGAAAAGCAACACTGTTTCTGAGCATGTCCTGTGAGGGTCGGAGTGTTCGGGAAGGTCTGGGATCTGGGCTGTCCGTTCTGCAGCCCCTGGTTGGGGAGTGTGTGGCTATTGCACTTGAATGTGGCTATCCTGAGGACATGGGTTCTTAGTTTTTCATTTTGGGGTGTTGGAGACTGAACCCAAGGCTTCGAGCGTGCTAGGCAAGTGCTCTACCACGGAACACACCCAAACCCATGATTTTGTTTAAATTTAAATCACTACAGGTGGCTGGTATCCATCATCGGTGAAATCAAGCAACCCCATGGTAACAAGGAGTTACTGAGTGACTCTATGACACCACAGTGATAAGGAGTTACTGTTATGTACACCATGGGGTAAGTTATCACAGAATACTATGTAACACCTTGGTGACAAGTTGCTGTGGGGCACATGTAACACCACTGCTATGAGGAAATACTGGGTGATGCTATGTAGCACATGGTGACAATGACACCCACACCAGCTCTGGGCTTCTACACACTCTTCCCCAGGGAAAGGGACCAGAGTTCTCTGAAGCAATGGCTGATTCCTTGGCCGGGAGAGTGAGTGAGGGGCCTAGAATATGTGATCTGCCAGGGACTAAGACAGTGCTTCAACCACCAGGAGCAATGGAGCCGGATGGAGGAGCTGCACCCCACACTGACACAGGAGCTCATGAGCCATGTGAATAACAGACAGGAGGAAATGGGGCTCCCCTGCTCCCCACAGCACACCTCAACACTGGGGCCAGAAAACAAGTTACTTACTAACATTTCCCCAGAAGACTCCACCGCTCCCCCCCTCCACCATATCACTTAGTCCACTTTCCTTCCAACTCTCAGACTGACATCTGTGCTCTTAGCGACTCTTTCTTTCTTCCTTCCCTCCCTCACTCTCTCCCTTCCTTCCTTTCCTTCTTTCTTTGTTTTTCATGGTACTGGAGATTGCTAGGCAAGCACTGTACCACCATGCCCCCCACCCAGTCCTTTTGTTTTGGTAATTTTTTTTATAGGGTCTTGCAGTTTTTACCCATGATCCTCTACCTAGAATTTCCTCGTAGCTGGGAGCAGCAATGCTCCTTGTCCAGAATTAGAGCAACTCTTTAATGATAAAACAAACAAAATACATTGTCATTCTATGTGATTAACAAGTTCTAGGAAGAAACAGCACACACAAAACCACTGTGCAATGGACACAAAGATAAACGGTAGGCCCACTCTTTCTGAACAGATGTAACTGCCACTATCACAGAAACCTTCTGTGACATGAGTGAGGAAGAGGTTTGCTAGAGCTCAGGTAGGAGGCGTGCCATCAAATCCTGCAGCAGACAGCCACGCCCACAACATGGCTGGGAAACAGGGGTGTATCTTCTCACTTCCCCTGGGAAATCTGTCACTCAGCTCTTAGGAAACAGTGGTGATTTGTCACTGAAGCCAGTACATATCGCACAGTCAACAAGTGACACCCAGTGTGAGCTAACCACATGCCAATCAGTTTTCCCCCTTGCAGTTCAAAAAGTCACCCAAACAGTACACCTAAAACTGGTTAAGATGAGAGTCGGGAGGACTGTGGTTCAAGACCAGCCTGGGCAGAAGTTATAAGACCCTATCTCAAAAACAAGCCAGATGTGGTGATGCACCTCTGCAATCACAGCTAGGAGGGAGGCAGAGGTAGAGGACACAGTCGAAAGTCAGCCTGGGAAAAAAAACGCATGAGATCCTATGTGAAAAATAACTAAAGCAAAAAGGGCTGGTAGAGCACCTGCTCTGCCAAGTGCAAGGCCCTGAGTTCAAGCTGCGGTGCTGACAAAAAAAAGAGAGAATGGTATAGTGTCATCATGCACCTGTTCTTCAAGGCCATTATCTGTACTCACACACTGATGACACTGATAACCTCCGCAGCCGAGTGAGTGCGTGCCAGGCACTGCGCTAAGCACTTACAGTAGTCCCAGGGGGAAGGCAGTGCCATCACCCGCACTGAGGGAGAAGGAAGGTGAGATTTGAACCCAGGCTCGCAAACTAACATGCACACGTTCTCAAACAGTAAATTCACCACCGTCTATTTCTTCTCTGCTGTCATCATTACCGACGTCTGAAGGTGGAATTAAATGATACAAACAATGCTACCATCCACTGAGTGCTGTACCAAGCCAGGCTCTTCGCACATTTTAACGCTGATGTTCACAATAGCCAGTTAACTATCACCAGTGCCATTTTACCAATATGGACACCAGACTGGGAAAAGTCCAGTGAGCTCTCTGAGGCCTCACACTGCTGAGTGTCTCATCCCGGGCTGCCTCTCCCTCCTTGCCGTCCTTAAAAATCAAAGAAGCCCACAGAACCCAGTGTCTCTTGCTTGGCTTGGGATGGGGGGACGGGAGAGAGAAGGAAAGATGGGGCGGCCAGCAGCGGGTGCTGTGCACAAGGGCAGGCGCCTGGCCGTGCAGGGCCTTGTGCTGCCGGATTCCTCAGTGTGGCACATTCCAGGGCTCCGGGCTGCAGCCTCAGCCTGTGACTAACACTGCAGTGATTTATCTGAGGATAAATACCTCTGTCAGTGTCTTATGACTGAACACAACAGGCCCAGCAGACTGGAACGCATGGAATGCCCTTGCTCTGGGCTGGGCTGGGCCAGCAGAGGGCCACTGCAGTGCCACCTCCAGCAGTAGAGGAACTCCAGGCCTGGAGGAGGAAGAGTCACGCTGCAAGCTGCACCTGCCCGCCCCAGACAGCAACATCCCAGGAGCCACATCCACAGGAGGGGTGTCTTGAGTAATTACAAACCACTGGGGCTGGGGGTCAAGGCCCTGGGTTCCATCCAAAAAGAAAAAGGAGGGGAAAAAAAAAAAAGCATTCATGCATGGGGGAAAGCCTAGGGAGAAAGGGGTGGTCAAGCTGAAAATACCAACCTCCTCTTTGGAGGAGGGGTGCTGAGCAGAGGGAGGTGAGAGGAGGCCAGCACTCAGGGCAGAAAAGTGGTTGTGCCACCCAGATTCGGAACTTGTTTCAACCCCTTCATTTGACAAATGAAGAAACTGGGACTCAGAGAGTCGATACAATCTGTGCCAAGACAGTGGGGTATGTTGCTGGCCAACCAAGGGCCAGCATGGAGCTGGCTCAAACGGTAAGAATGCCTGCCTTGCAAGCATGAAGCTAAGTTCAAACCCCAGTGCCACCAAAAGAAAAGGGGGTTGGGGGGAGCAGCACCCAGGTCTCCTGGTACCAGGATGGCTTCTCTACCCACTTCTCTGGCTATGACAAGCCCCCATATCATGAAGGCAAAAGGTTGGCTCTCCGTCTTTGGAAGTGCTCCATCGAGCCTGTGCGTACACGGGTGAAAGAGTATTTGTCAGTGTGGCTAGTCCTAGCCCGCCAGTAAGAACGTTCACAGAAATCTCACCTTACCTTCTATTCCACCAGCACATAAAGACAGTCACAAAACCCAAATTCTCCAACAACAATCAGTGCGTAACAGCAGGAAGGAGTCGAGTATTCCAGATCATGCCTTAAGAGCTCTGTAGAAATGCTCACTCCATGGGAAAAACACGAAAGGCCATGCCAGCTGGAAGGAAGGAAGGTTTCATCTCTCCACCAGGTTTTAAAGTCAGCTTAATACCTTCTCGGCAGGTGAGTACTACTTATCTTTTATAAATAATCTCCTTTATCAATAACTTATAAAATAGCAACATCACCACTGGCACCAAGTTGGGAAAGGAACACGACCCCGGCCTGGAACACACACAAGCCAAAAGGCAGCGGGAACTTACAGGTGGGGGCTGAAGATCCGACTCATCTTGGAGGCATGGTCACTTTCACAGTCTGGGTCCTCGTCCCCCGGCTCCATGCTGAACTTTCTCTTGCTGGGGCTGATGGGAGGAGGGCCTGTGCGGTGGCTGCTCAGCGCCGAGGCCACCGGGAGGGTCTGCATTCTGGGCTCTCCCCTGAGAGCAGCTTCACCTATGCAAAGAGAGACAATACTGTTGTCACCAGGCGGGAGAAGTGCCCCCATCTCAGTCCCCAGGCTCCCTGGCCAGCCTGCCCAGCCCCTTGCAAAATACTCCCAGTGGAAAGTTTTGGCAACGTGACGGGCGGCCTGCCATTCTCAGAACACAGCCTGCGTGTGTCCCCTGCCAAGCATGAGGCGTCTGACAGCAACAAGGTTTTAAGCACTCATTTTTAGGGGAGAGTTTAAAACAAAAAGTTGCTCTGCAACAGTGGGGGAGGGAGGAATGGACAGTGTTGGCCATCAGCGATCTCCAATGTGAACTTGAAACCCAGAAGGTCTGGACTTGGAGCTCTCCAACTGTACACCTCACTGGGAGCATCTCACCACGCCAACTGAGTCTCCCGGCATGCTATGTTGTTATCATATTTTTGGTGTGTTAATTTTTCTCTAAGAATGAAGAAAATATATGAGCTAATAGTTCACATTTACCCTGAAGTTTAACAGAAATTTTAAAACATTATTCAATGAGGAATAAACATTTTATCCTTACAGCACATTTAAAATGGCACATTAAAAAGACTGATTATTGTCGGCACAAAGTTTTGTCATGTAACCTGTGACAAGCACAATACATGCAGTTCCCACAGTGTTCCAAAGTTAGGCACCGAAATCAGAGTTCTCATTTTGATCTGACTTGACGTCTCTTCTTGGGACTGTTTAAAAGGCTCCGTACTGGGTGACAACTTTGTGGCTTATTATTTATTAAAATGAATATGACCTTTGGCAATACTGAAGGTTCTGTACCTCCTAAAATTTATAAACAGGAGTAATAACTGCTTGGCGACAAAGTGTCAAACATTCTGAGTCCTACAAAGGCGAAGGCGAAGGCGGGAGCCTAAATTTTTCAAAGTGACCCTTTTGTGGTGCTATAGGTATTGATTGGTCTTCAGGTCTGACCTGCTTTGTTTGCACACGGTCACAACAACTTCAGAGTGGTATTAGCATAAAGTCAGCTTCGCCCGAGGCCTTATGGCACCTAAGAAAAGAAACCTTTGCTGCTACTCCTTTTCCCATCACCCCCCTAGGTGGACAGTTGCCTACTTCACATGTGTGACAAATACGACTGTGTGAAGGGAAGGATAGAGGGAAAGGCCTTTTGAGTATTTACCAGGAAAAATAAGAACTCAGCCAATTCAGCCAGCAAGATGTAAACTTGCAAATATACGGTGACCCACAGCACAGCCCCAGGCAGGATTTCTTTTAAGGATTCTGGCCCTGAAGCAAACTGGAACTTTCCATTTTAAATGGAATACCTAAAAGAAGAACAAGCCCTGGCCTGGCCTGCCTGCTACCCTCAGAAATTCAGTATGATGGGGGTGAAGTGGGGGGAGTTGCTTCCTGGCAAAAACTTTTGCTTTTAGAAAACAAGAAAGCAGCGCTCGCATTTATGCCTTGATAACAGAAAACCTTCTTCCCAAACATCCCCTCTTCCTTGGGCCTCCTCCTTCTCATGAGAGAAAAAGAGGGGGCTCCTGAGGTAACGTGTTCAGTGCCCACACCCAGCTGGCTTTCTGAGGAGCCCCGGGAGACCCTCAGGAAGTCAGCAACTGCAAACCAACCTCACCAAAATGGCCCCCAAGGCTGGACACACTGTCCACTGCGTATCCCGGGCAAGCGGGTGAGGGTGGGGAAGATGAGGCTCCTGGAGGACCCTTCAGCTCTGGGCACCATCCCATCAGGGGATGCCAGGGGAGCAAGAAGTTGCTACAGACCCCCCCCCCCACCAAAAGCAACAAGTCCAGTGGGTCCCAAAAGGAACATTTGTTCAGGAAACAACAGAGACTCCGGTGGAGCACCCGCTGCAGGTTCCCCGAGGGCACTGCCCTGTGAAGATCTGGGGCTCGTTTGCATTTGCAGTTCATGAGGGATGGAACCCAAAAAGCACTAGAGACTTGTGTCCCAAGGGAAGGTGGGGCACTCCTGGTCTGCCTCACTTGACAGGTGTGGGGTGCCCTGTCCCCTGCTGATCAGACGATGCTCCTCCTAAGCGTGAGCTGAGGGGAAGGCAGAAGAGAAACTCATGCACAGAAGGGCAGCCCTGGGCTCCAGGCCTCGTCCTAGAAAAGCATAGCCGATGCTTGTACTCTAGAGCAGGAATGTCTGTAACTGTGCATGTGGCCTGGGAAGGGTACAGTTGTGCTGTACAGGCTGGGGTGGAGCTCAGTGGCAGAACACCTGCTTAGCATGTGCAAGAAAGCCTTCCCCAAAAAAACAAAAATTATGGGTGACTCAATTAAGCTGAGATCATTTGGTCTGGGGGTCAAGATACTGTATTCCAATCTTAGGTCTCTGTTATTTAGGGTGAAGAGGGAATGGAGTAGCTAAGACCCAACATTCCTTACAGCCCTAAGAATGAGCGACCCAATCCTATGACCCACAACCCTACAGTCAATCAGGAGGCTGACAACCAACCTGCCAAGAAACGACTACTTGTGTGGTCTTGAACGAACACAAGACCCAAAGTATGAGCCTCGAATGTTAGTTGTTGAAAAAAAGTAAAGATCACACCACGGCCAAAGAAATCTGGCCAGTCTGAGATGAAGCAACTTGCACAGGAGATCCTTAACTCCAGACCGTCACATCTTCTAAGGCGCACATCTGCATCCAGCACCTCCCACACTGTCCTACACAGCCCATCTGTGACGGACCCCAGGGGTCCCATGGTGCCAGTCACCAAGAATTCCTACCCAGACAGCCTCTGCATTCAAACCCGACACTGCTCCAAACTCTATTCCTGGGAGTCCTCACTCTGAACCCTAAAGTTCAACAGGCTACACAGCTACCATCCTGCAGGGAACTCCCCATCCAACCTCAGGATCTCAGTCTTCTTGTGCTTAAAGTCTACACATCCTACAAAGTACACTTACAAGGCCACCTCCATCAGATTGTCTTCCATGATTCCCCAGTCTGAAAGAACTCTCTTCTGAATGTCTGCAGAAACTCATCTGGTGCTTCCCTTCCCGCTGTGTCTTGTGCTCCTTGAAGCAGGGGCACTAAACCCATTGATATCCGAGAGTGAGACGACACTCCCACGACACAGACAATCCGGACAGACTGCCTGTGTGATCAATGAGGTGAGGCAGGGCGGTGGGCAGGCCCAGCTCTGACATCTTAAAGACTTTCGATGCTGTAGGATAAGGAATTCCCAAACATCTGTTTAAGAATGTATTTATGGGATGCTCTCTTACAACTCAATGATTAAAAAAAAAAAACCCTCAAAAAATTGTAAGAGCAAAGTAGACATTTCTCCAAAGATACACAAATGGCCAACAGGCACCAAGATGGCCAACGTCCCTGGCCTTCCGGGAAGCGCAGATCCATCACCACCACTAGGATGACCAGTGAGAAGGCTGAAAATAACAAGTGCTGGCGAACGGCAGAGAAGCCAGGACTGCCTACATTCCTCGTAGGAATGCAAAGTGGAATGACTGCTACAAAAAGCACTTGGGCAGTTCCTCGAATGGTCACCAGAGTCACTGCAAAACCCAGCAATCTCACTCCTGGGTATACACCCCAGAGAAATGAAAACAGGGCTCCGCAAAAGCGTGTATATGAATGTTCATAGCCCAAGAGCAGAAACGCCTCCAATGTCCATCAGTGATGAATAAACTTTTTAAAATGTGGTATATCTAAGCGATGGAATATTATTCAGCCATAAATAGGAACAAAGAACTGATTCATGCTATGGTGTGAGCCTGGAAAACAGTCAAGTACGTAAAAGGAGACAGACACAAAATGCCACCCACTGCCTGATTCCATTCCTACGAATTTTCCAGAACTAGCAAATCTGTAGAGGCAGGAAGTGGATTAGTGACTGCTGTGGGCTGGGAGAGGGGATAGGAAGTGACAGCTCACAGGTGCTGGGTTTCTACAAGTGATGGTGATGAGGGGCACAGCTCTAAGTAACACTGACACCCACTAACTGGGTGAGTCTTGTGGCACAGGCATGCCTGCTCAGTACAGATGTCACCTCCCCTAAAACAAGAGCACATTTATTTACAAGTGCGCCACAGAAGAGTCCAGAATTACCACATCCTCCTCTCCTCTCCCAGGTTTTCACACTGACACAAGTAAGAGCAGGCATTCATGAATTTGCCCTGAAATAAAAATAACCCTTTCGTTATGGGAGTTACAGCTCTACCGTGTTAAAGTCCGACAATTTTAAAAAATGTTATCAAGTTAAAAAGAAATCAAATCAGAGACCACCTGAGGTTGCACAGGCACTCAGTTCCATCGGGCTCCTAGTGGGCCCACCTCACGTTTGACCAGATGGCGTTGGGGTGGGGGTGGGGGTGACTATGACACCCAGGACAGCGGTGCAGAAAAACACAACATGGTATTTACACAGACCCTGACCCCAAGGGGAATCACACACCAAAAGGAACCGATCCTGGGGGGTATAAGAGACCTTTCTTTTGTCCAGCAGCTGAAAAAGGAGAAGGGATTATCTTTCTTCTTCAAATAAAAACAGGAGAAAGGAGATTTGAACTGAGTCACCCAGTATTTTTTAAGTTTCTCTACTTGGCTGAACTACAACTTTCCTCTTAAGTTTTTAACTCACAGCTATAGCTAAGTAACTTTTTTTCTGGGCACTGCAGTTTCACACGTGCACACACACACGCACACGCTTTGCTCTGGTTACTGTGGAGACAGGGCGCGGGTCCTCATGAACTATTCGCCCCAGCTGACCTTGAACCTCAATCCTCCTGACCCCTCAGCCTCACAAACGTGGGATTACAAACAAGAGCCACAAGTGCCCAGGTAAATAACTTCCATTTTAAACATGGGTTTGGTATTTTAAATGAAGATAATTTTATCCAGTTATGTGTTACTGAAGAAAAATGCTCCGTGTACTCAAAAATTATTAAACTGCTGGTTTCAGTCACGATGAAAATTCTAAGATACAGATTAGAAATATTCCTTAAATACTTCCCCTCAATTAAAGAAAACA